AATACCACCAAGCTAAGGGAGCATCAAGGGCCCCACAGTTCTCCTCCTCCTCCTCCCTTCTAACACTGATGATGTTATCTAGTTGGGTTGTGAAATGTCTGCAAGAATACCACCAAGCTAAGGGAGCATCAAGGGCCCCACAGTTCTCCTCCTCCTCCTCCCTTCTAACACTGATGATGTTATCTAGTTGGGTTGTGAAATGTCTGCAAGAATACCACCAAGCTAAGGGAGCATCAAGGGCCCCACAGTTCTCCTCCTCCTCCTCCTCTTAGCACAGATGATGCTCCCTAGTTGGATCGTGAAACGTCTGCAAGAAAACCACCAAGCTAAGGGAGCATCAAGGACCCCACAATTCTCCTCTTCCTCCTTCTCCTCCTCCTCTTCCTCCCTTCTAGCACTGATGATGTTACCTAGTTGGGTGCTGAAACGCCTGCAAGAAAACCACCAAGCTAAGGGATCATTGAGGCCCCCACAGTCCTTTTCCTCCTCCTTCTCTTCCTCCTCCTCCCTTCTAGCACTGATGATGTTACCTAGTTGGGTGGTGAAATGTCTGCAAGAAAACCACCAAGCTAAGGGAGCATCAAGGACCCCACAATTCTCCTCTTCCTCCTTCTCCTCCTCCTCTTCCTCCCTTCTAGCACTGATGATGTTACCTAGTTGGGTGGTGAAATGTCTGCAAGAAAACCACCAAGCTAAGGGATCATTGAGGCCCCCACAGTCCTTTTCCTCCTCCTTCTCTTCCTCCTCCTCCCTTCTAGCACTGATGATGTTACCTAGTTGGGTGGTGAAATGTCTGCAAGAAAACCACCAAGCTCAGAGAGCACACCAAGGACCCCACAGTTCTCTTCCTCCTCCTCCTAGCACAGATGATGCTCCCTAGTTGGATCGTGAAACGTCTGCAAGAATACCACCAAGCTAAGGGAGCATCAAGGGCCCCACAGTTCTCCTCCTCCTCCTCCCTTCTAGCACTGAGGATGTTACCTAGTTGGGTGATGAAAGGTCTGCAAGAGAACCACCAAGCTAAGGGAGCACCAAGGACCCCACAATTCTCCTCTTCCTCCTTCTCCTCCTCCTCCCTCCTAGCACTGATGATGTTACCTAGTTGGGTCGTGAAACGTCTGCAAGAAAACCACCATGCTAAGGGAGCACCGAGGCCCCCACAGAACGGGTGTGAAAAAGAAAGAAAGAAAGAAAGAAAGAAAAAACGGCGAGAGGGAAAACCCGAATCTCCTACCCATATCGGATTCATTTCCTCCGCACGAGTTCAGCTTACGGAAGATCTCCTGCTTCTTCGACTTCACCATCGGGGAGGTGCTCTCCAGTTTGGTGAAGAAGGAAGGCAGGTAGGCGATGCTGCCCGGAGAACGGGAGTCTGTCCTGTGGAAGAGCCAAGGAGGAAAAGGGGGGGGGGGGGAAAAGGAGAAACAAAATTAAATGCATACCGGAAGGAGGAAAAAGACAAAGAAGGATATAGAGAGACCATTGAGGGCTAACCGTTTTGTCCTCGTGCACCAAAATCGTGCGCAGGTGTGCGCTCGCACCCATAATGCAATGTGCCCTGCCCCCTGCACATGTGCCATGACCCCTGCGCTCCCCTTGCCCCCACACATACGTGTGCTCTCCCTGCGCTTGTGCATGGCACACACACACACACCCCGGTGACCCATTTTGTGCCTCCCTGAAGCCTCCTGAAACCAAAAGCGGGGTGTGCATAAGCAGTGGAGCTGAGCTGTGTGCGACGGCTTGCATGCCAGCAATAGCAATAGCAGTTAGACTTATATACCGCTTCATAGGGCTTTCAGCCCTCTCTAAGCGGTTTACAGAGTCAGCATAT